AATCCACTCAGTAGCAATGGATTTGGTTTTTCGGTTTCGAGTCAGGTGTAGCTTAGTCCCCAAAGTGACATCTTTACTCCTTAAAGAAGTCTTTTGCAGCAAAATGTGATAGATACATTATTTGATTTCTTGACTGCTGCTTCCATGAACATGATTGTGGATCAAAGTAAAGTAAAATCCTTGATTACTTCAATCTTTTCTCCGTTTATCGTGATGCCCTTTTTGGCCCGGTCATGAGGATTTTTGTTTTCTTCATATTCAGGTGTAATTCATACTGAAAGCTGTAGTCTTTGGTCTTCATCAGTGAAGTGTTGCAAATCCCTCTACTTTAAGCAAGTGTTGGAAACTGAGGACCTGGAAGAAAGTGTATATGACCTGCTCTAGCACTCATGACTTCAGGGTTCAACACACCAGCCCTAGTGGGAGTCAGGCATCCCTAGTCTCGGGGATATGGGAAGCACCAAGTGCACATATTCCAGAAAGGGCATTTCTCCACGTCCACCTTCCATAATACGATAATATAAAGCTTTCTCCTACAGATGCCTAGTTTCTCAGTATGCAGTTAAAAGATGCTTATCTCACGCTTAAGGAGTGATTAGCATCCTTTGTCTCTTGCATACTTGGTATTTTTTTTGAGATATTCCCCTTGAGCTATTCAAAATTAACATAGTGCCCATTTTAATATGTATGTGTAACAAGAAACTTGCAGGCCTCAGTACTATAAAACCATATTGCTGAATAAACTCTGGACTCTGCTCCTTCTTGCTTCCCAGGGGAATGGAGTCGAGTCTCCTGCACACTGTTGTCTATTTTCTTTATTTTCTTCCCTAATTGCCCATGTCACTCCACAGGAACCCGTTTGACTGTAGGGCTGGACACCCACCCCACCTCCCCCACCCCCGCAAGCAACTAAGTTTAAGTCATCTGCATATCACAGATTGTGAATGAGGCTTCCTCCAAACCTAATGCTACATACTTCTTCATATAATCCACTCTTCAGATTATTTGCCCAGCAGATATATTGAATAAGTATAGTGAAAGGATAAAACGTTGGTTAGTATACCTTTCCTGATGTCAAACCATTCAGTATCCCCTCTTTTGTTTGAACAACTCTCTCTTGGTCTGTGTACAGGTTCCCCATGAGAACAATTAAGTGTTCTGGAATTCCCATTCTTTGTAATATCATCTATAGTTTGTTATGACCCACAAATCAAATGCCTTTGCGCAGTCAATAAAAACAAGTGAACATCTTTCTGGTGTTCTCTGCTTTTCACCAAGATCCATTTGACTCGGCAATAATACTCTCCTGTTACACATCCTTCTGTGGGATGGAACTCTGTCTGAGTGGAATTTCTTAATATGGCTCTTCTACCCAAGTCTCTGTAATTCCTGCCAAATGATTGGCTGGGACTATGCAAAGAGGGCATGTGTAACACTAATAGGGGGGATAGATCAATTTTCATTACCACCACCCCACCCACCCTATGGCCTGGGGTGCCTGCAGAGAAAGGGCTGTCCTGATGGAAGAACTGAATCTTGAGCATTTCTGAACCTAAATAGTAACCTATAATAAACCCCATAACAGTGAGTAAAGTTCGTGAGTTCTGTGTGTTCATTAAAATAAATTGTCAAACCTAGAAGAGAATCAGGGCATGTTTTGGGAGGGGTAGTTGATGTCAGAATCAGTAAAAAGAGGTTAAAATGTGGAGGTATGACTGCCCTCTACCTTATAGGATGCTGATGACGATGATGATGGTGATGATGATGGTGATTCTTCACCTCCCACCTTGTGAAATTAAAGGAGATTAGATGCCACTCCTGGGCCATTTTTGCAATACACTTTTTTTTCTGGTTGCATAATAAACCATCCTAAAGTTAATGATGTAAAACAGCCACGTTATTAGGCTCACAGACTCTGGGTCAGGAATTAAGAAAAGATACAATAGGAATAGCTTGTGTCTGTCCCAGGATGTCTGGGGTCTCATCGAGGAAGCACAAGTATCTGGACACAACTTGAGGCAGTTAACTTGAATTCTTTTTTTTTTTTGGGGGGGGTTTGGAATATTTTCATGGTTTATTGTGAATAAAATGCTTTTTGAATTTTACATGATAAAGATGATGTGTTCATTTTGTTCTAATCATTTTATTGGGGCCTCGTACAATTTTTATCACAATCCATACTTCCATCCATTGTGTCAAGCACAT